ATGTCCAAATACAATGTCTATAGTTTTGTACAAATTAGGAACTCAAATTACCGATATTGACAAATTAGAATATAAAATAAGAATCTCTTATCTTTTCTATTTGCTGAGATATTGCTTCATGAACTGAATCAAACAAAGTGGCACTGCCCACCTCTTTCCATTTTAAAGACACTTGGTTACGTAAACCTACTTCTGTCTATGGCATGTGAATAACCAATCAAAAGCTCAAAACGTTTCACATGTGGTTCTCTGAGCCTTTGTAAATTATTTACATGGGAAATCCTTTCTTTTCACTCTGGGTTCGAAGAGGGTAAATTTATTATTTGGTGAGCTCAAAATTTCATATTCTTTTAGACTCAAATACAGCTTAGTTACTAAGATTGATAAATTATAGTAGAATTCTATAACATTGACATAGTAATTTAAGATTTTTGGTTATTTCAAATGTATATATAAAACCCCCCAAAAAATTTTTCCTTTCACATCCTCCACGTGCAAAATTTGATAAGGCTTAGCAACCTATGACAAACTAGTAACGAAACAGACTCGACATTTTCAAAAACAAATCTTTAGTAAAAATACTTCTAATCATTACTAAGTCTATGTGTAAACAAATGTGTATATAAACTCGTTTATTTTATATAAAGCCCATAACAAAAGGGTTAACAAGTATTTGTGTGTGTATTTGACAGTCAAAAGGCCACCTGCTATTAGTCTGGAGGGATTGTAAATGCACATGTTTTACTATCTGTACTAACTTTTAGAAGTAGATAACAAGAAAATAACTGATTGTATTAGTGTAGTGGCTTTCTGTAACTGTACACAATGTTTTTATTTACAAGTTTGTTTGTTTGAGGTTAAGCACAAAGCTATATAATGGGCTATCTGTGCTCTCCTCATTATGGGTATCGAAACTCAGTTTCTAGAGTTGTAAATCTGCAGACATACTGTTGTGCCATTGGGATCTTTATTTATAAAAACTTAAAGGTAACTTCTTTGTATTACATTTACTGTACACAACCTTTTTTCTCTATTATTGCTTAAACTTTTTTTAAGTGGGTGGTGGTTTTGGTCCACTAGACTGGTTCCTCACTATATTTATTCACCAATGGTATTTCAGCTGCCTTGTGATTGTTTCACTTTTAAACTGCTATATTATCAAATGTAATTCTATAACACGTACATTGCACCTAATGATGATAGACAAACTTGTCACAACAGTGTAATTAATCTTTTTCTTGTTTTTAATCATTCCATATATATGTTTTATGTTAATTTATGTTGAAGTTGCTTTAAATTTTTACTTCTATAGTGTAACCCACTGATTCATCTTATTTTTCACCAGTAAACTTTCGATAAACTTACCTTCCCGCTCTATTTCCCTATCATTCATAGTCTTAAGTAGCATAGCCTCTTTTTTATCAAACCTAAAGACCCGCAAAACAGCTGTAGCTAAAGGTGTCCTGTCACGATGACAGAGATCTGCTAAAACACTGATTATTTCTAGTTCTTCTTCTAGGATTAGCTGTAAGAAGAGTACAAATATAAAATGTTTGTGTACACTTGAATATTACTAAGAGCACTAAAACATACACATTCATTAAACCAAGTAGCTGGTCTGACCCTCATTCTTTGCCAGTAATAGATACACTAAACTCTACAAGAAGAACACAGTAAAACAGGATGGTAACAAAGGCAAACTAAGTCAGGTTCTCTAACACATTATACTGAAAGACTTTTATATCAGCTGTTAATTAGCAAGTACAATTTTTTTTTCTCGGTAAAACACACACATTTTGTCTGTTTGTTTTTTCATGTGAGTTTGGCATTATACATTTTCATGGTCATCTCTTTTCAACATTTTACAAGCCACAAGATGATGTTCTCATCCAAATATAACTTGGAAGAAAAATGTGATTCAGAGATAAGGTTATTTAGATTTTTTATTTTAACTTAACCAGATCCATTCAGAAAGAGACCTACAAAAAGTCACACCCCAGCCATGGTAAGCAAAGTGTGGCATCTTGTAACAGGTGACAATCCATGAACACAAAGATCAGTGGTAAAAGTCATCCACATGCCCCAGGCAACAGTATGCAACACAATCAATAAGGATTCCTGTCTGGATAAGCAACACAAGTCATGCACAAACAAGTTGCTTCCACAACATACCTCTTGTTCAACCACAGCATACCTTAAGCAACTGGTATTCATGCAATTCCATACTAATACCTAACAATCAAGTGAAACAGGCACTGGGAAACTATCACCTTCACAAACTAGATGGATTATGGAAAGACTGCAGGAATAAGTGGTTACTTTAGACACAACAGTCTTACAAAGAAGACTTTTGCAATGGAAACAACATTGCAGGGTTATTTTCAAAATGCAGGATCATCAGAAAGAGCATGACTAGATATGTCAACATGGACTGCAAGTGGTGATGCTCCAAAATCATTTTAATATAATGTACTCAACCTCTGTAGATACCTTGTATTTCAATTAAAATGAAGACAAAAATATTCTTTTCTTTACATTTTGACCACTTAAAAAACTTGTAGTTGCAAGAAAGCTATATATAATTTGAATAACAAAAAATATGAATAGTAAAATGTGTCATATATTCTCATAACTTAATAATTTTTTAAATATAAATAGTCTGAAAATGTAAGTTACAAAACAGTGTCCTGAAGATAAATTTCAAAGAAAAACAAAAGAATTATTTGCACAATTATTTTCCAAAAAATAATAATTTTTTAACTATTTGGGGGTATACAGATAGACAAGTAAAAATGTTTGACACCTTTTCTATGTAATTAGTACATAAAACTAACAAAGAAATATTCCAGAAAATCAGTGAGAAAATAAAAAGTACCTCTTTTAAAGCATCATACTCTCGCAGGGGCATGATGACTTCATGAACATATCGAGTCCTGACTCTGAGGGAGCCCCAGTCTTCCAAGACAGGTGCACTCAGCCCACTCAGAGGGTACCAGTCTTCAACTTCTTCTCCACTGACTAGTGTACTTAGTTCTACAGACATCTCCGCTGAAGAAAATTAAAAATTTCACAAAAACGCTAAGTCTAAACCATGTGGAGAAGTAACACAAATATCATAAAAGGAAAACAAATTATTTCCTCATTCTTAAAGCCACAATGATATTTCTCTAATACAAGATTTCCATTGGTTAAGAACACTAAAATTATTAGCTTTATAGTCTTACAAGACCAAATGTTAAAAAACGTTGTGTTCACAAGTATTAACACAGAACAGAGGACATGTATGATTATAAAAGTATAAAACATTTATAATGAGGGTATTAAGGTTTCTAATTTCCAAACTATAAACAGCATTGCAATGATAATGACAATGATATACACCAATAAAAGATATGTTAGGACACATAAACATTGCTTTTAGCTTTGAGATAATTTTTCTTACCTATTTCTATGTCACTAGACTTTTTAGCTTTGTTATATAATGTAATACAAAATGTTCTAATGTCGGATGGAATGTCTCTGCAAAACAACAAATATAAAATTAATTCCTAATTTCTCATCAAAAATTGCAAATCACTTTATAAATGCTTAAATTTGAGCCTGTAACATTATTTTTTAATACTGTATTTTGCTTTATGTTTTAAAAGGCTTATTTTTCTTTATTACAAACATAATGATTTATTGAGATTTAAAGTGCCAAATGAACATAAATTTTAAAACATTAAAAAACTCAAGTATGAACTATAAAGCTCAAATGTCAACTCTGAGGCATAAGTCAATGTAGGTAATATTAATGTTTTAAATTGGTGTTTGAAAACTAAAGAAAAATGTCAAAGATATTCTGCTTCTTTTCAACTGATTTGTAAACATGTTTTTAACCACTTCAAACTGAGACTCAAAACACATGGAACAGAACTAACAGGGTAAAAAAGCCTTATTTAGTATATTTTTAAACTAAGTCGTATAGTTTTTATCTTCAGTTCCAAATGACAATTTCACACTAAAAAGCAAAGGGTTTTAAAAGTGATCACAAAATATATAATGACAACTATATTCTTTACATCATATTTAAAATATTTTTACTTTCTTATGAAAACTGTTATGTATATATGAAGCTCTTTACATCAGATGCAGGAGAGAACAGCCATCATTCTTATTTACTTTTGAAGGTCTGCAAATTGATTTTTAATAAAATAGATACTTTATGCAATATAAATTAGAAGCAAACATGTTTCTTACTCAAGGAGGAAGTCTTCTTCCCAAATGGGATCAGGGGGGCATTTGACCTGAGTGCGGCAAACTTTGACTTTGTCCAGGGAAATGATACAAAAAGGGTGAGGGACTAGGCGGACAGGCAAGCGATGGGCTTCTAGTAAAGTCAGATGTAGACTACGGACTTCAGAGACATTATGACTGGGAGCACGGCCACGCTGATGGGGTGCACAAAGAGGTTTGATGCTCTGAAGCCATTGCTGAAAGTAGATACCATAAAAAAAAGTAATATATATATATATATAAATGCTGCTCTTTAAATGGTTTTTCAAAAAACATTTAAAGTAGAGAAAAACAGAAAAAAACTTAGATTATGCTGACAAACTTGTTAACATTACTGTCTATAAACCAGTTGATAGCTTAAATGTCTTTTTTTCTTTTCTTTTAAAGGAGAATTTTTGACAATCTTTGGTAAGTTCAACCTAAACTGTACATTCCACAGGAAATTGTAATATATATTTCTAAATATACTAAACCAAAAATTTTGCTTTATCATTAGTTTAACCTCGACTCCAACTTAAATCTAGAAATACTGACAAGATTTCTCAATGATCAAATTCATAGTTACAACATTAAACAAGTCTCATGTTTTTTTTATATTACTAGGTTATAGACTTGTGGTTCTCTAAAATATATGGCCCATAAATATCTAATATAGATTAGTTGATACAAACTTCCATAGCTAATATAATACATTCTTGTATTACTAGCTCTGATGAAGCCACAAGGACATGAAATGAAATGCTTTTTCTCATTATCTGTAGAGTAAAGTATTATCTTTTTTTCCTGTAACTATATTCCCAAAACATTCATAAACAGCTAAATCAGCCAAGCATATTACACATTATCCACTCAGAGAAGAACATTCTGCTTTACCAACTTTGATTACAACTATGCACATTTTCCTAGGGTGGGCTTGAACTAACATTACAAAACAACTTTATATTAAAACATGAGTGGTATAAAGACCATATTTAAAAAGAAATATAATGAATAAATTATAAAAACCAAACATAATTATGATCTGATAGCTTGAATAGTTTAACATTTATGTAGTTTTGGTAATACAACTATGAGATTGTCAATCACACATTCCTTACATACATTCTATGGATCAAACAGATTAAGTTTCTTCACCACAGAAAAAATATGTATAATGTTCTTTTTCCCCCAGAATGTTTTACTTTTTTGTTTCAATGTTTTGGTTAGACAATTATAACTGAAATGTTGAGACAAAGAAAATTTTAGTAAAAAATGTTGTACCTATTTTTTTTAATGTGTCCAAAAATCCTCAAGTCCGCACTGTTGTTAAATACTAACAAAACTTTCCTTCAGCATTGTTTACACTTGCATTCAAGTTGCATACAAATGTAAACATAATTTTATAGCATTATAGCAATAGTATTCAGCATCACTAACAACAGATTAGTTGTTTGTTAAAACTTGACATAGACAATAAGCATTTTTTGTACACTTTTTTTTTTTTTTTTTTTTTTAAAAAAC